GCAATGCCCAACCTTGGTTTTACCATTTGCCACCTAGCCTCTTTTCCCTCGGGTTTCCGGAGCCCAAGGGTCATCTTATTTTAACCCCCCCCCCTGGGCCAGTGCTCCTCTGAGTGTTGGTCCGACCGAGTAGACTGCGGGGCCACGTCGGGGCAACTTGAGGGTTGGTTTTACTCGTAGGATGTCTCATCTGAGTGTGCCCTGAGAAAGAGATATGTGCAGCTCCTATCGGGATTTGTCGGCACATTCGGGCGGTGTTGCTGGTCTTGTTTTAACCTGTCGAAGTGTCTTGAGTTACCGAGATACCGAGTCTGATCGGAACGTCTTGGGAGGAGGTCTATTCCTTCGTTGACCGTGAGAGCTTGTCATGGGCTAAGTTGGGACTCCCCTGCAGGGATTGAACTTTCGAAAGCCGTGCCCGCGGTTATGGGCAGATGGGAATTTGTTAATGTCCGGTTGTAGATAACTTGAACCTTAATTAATTAAAATGAATCAACTGAGTGTGTTGCCGTGATGGCCTCTTCTCGGCGGAGTCCAGGAAGTGGACACGGTGTTGGAGTAATGTTTGCGCAGGTTGTTCTCTAACTTCTCGCTCGTGCTTTGCCTCCTCTTCTCGCTATCTTCTGTGAATAAGTTAGCCACCATACTTGCTAGTCGCTTGCTGCAGCTCCACTTATATTTACCCTTGCCTTACCTATAAGCTTGAATAGTCTTGATCGCGAGGGTGCGAGATTGCTGAGTCCCCGTGGCTCACAGATTACTATTACACCAGATGCAGGGCCTGATGATTCCGCTCCAGGAGATGCGTATGAGCTCAAGTGGGAGTTCGACGAAGACTCTCAACGATACTATGTTTCCTTTCCCGATGATCAGTAGTGGTGCCCAGTTGGGGGTGATTGGGACCGTGTCGCATGTTGGGTTCTCTTTTATTTTGGCGCCATAGTCGGGCCATGAGTGTTTGGATGATGTAATGTTATTTATGTACTTGATTGACGTGGCGAGTGTAAGCCAACCATGTTATCTCCCTTTTATTATTCATACTACATGGGATGTTTGTGAAGATTGCCTAACTTGCGACATATGCCTTCAATGCGATTATGTCTCTAAGTCGTGCCTCGACACGTGGGAGCTATAGTCGCAATGAGGGTGTGACACCTACTCACCCCAGTCAAACGGGGTTGCCGAGCAGAAAAACCGTACTCTAACTGATTTGGTTAACGCCATGTTAGATACGTCGGGTTTATCCAAGACATGGTGGGGGAGGCTATAATGACATCCTGTCATGTCCTGAATAAAGTTTCGACAAAGGATAACGAGATCACTCCTTACGAGAAGTGGACCAAGAGAAGGACAACACTCTCGTACTTACGTACCTGGGGCTGCTTGGCGAAAGTTAATGTGCCGATCCCCAAAAAGCGTAAGCTTGACCAAAGACTGTGGACTGTGTTAATTTGGGCTACACTATGAATAGTGTTGGCTATAGATTTCTAGTAGTGAAATCTGAGGTATCTGGCATGAAAGTCGGTACAATTATGGAGTCTAAAGATGCTACATTCTTTGAGGACATTTTTCCCATGAGAGATGTACAAAGCACTTCTAGACAGGAATCTGAGGAGACTCCTGAACCTGCCATTCCGATGGAATATTATAATCAAACACATGATGAAAATCCTGAGGAGGATAATGAGGAATCCCTTGGTAGGGGCAAGAGACAAAGGACTGTAAAGACCTTTGGTGATGATTTCTTCATATACCTCGTGGAGGATAATCCCACTTCTATTTCAGAAGCGTATGCATCTCCAGAAGCTGACTACTGGAAGGATGCAGTCCGTAGCGAGATGGATTCCATCATGGCTAATGGGACTTGGGAGCTTACTAAACGTCCTTATGGTTGCAAACCATTGGGGTGCAAGTGGGTGTTCAAGAAGAAGCTTAGGCCAGATGGTACGATAGAAAAGTACAAGGCTAGGCTTGTGGCCAAGGGCTACGCTCAGAAAGAAGAAGAAGATTTCTTCGACACTTATTCACCTGTGACCAGACTGACCACCATTCGAGTATTACTCTCGTTGGCGGCCTCGCATGGTCTTCTCATTCATCAGATGGATGTTAAGACGGCTTTCCTGAACGGAGAGCTAAAGGAGGAAATCTATATGCAACAGCCTGATGGCTTTGTGATGGATGGTCAGGAAGGAAAGGTGTGTAAGTTGGTGAAATCTTTGTATGGCCTGAGACAAGCGCCTAAGCAATGGCATGACAAGTTTAATGAAACGTTGACATCTGTTGGCTTTGTTGCTAATGAGGCTGACAAATGTGTATACTATCGCTATGGTGGGGGCGAAGGAGTTATACTGTGTTTGTATGTTGATGACATACTGATATTTGGGACTAATCTCAAGTTAATCGAGGAGGTTAAGTCTTTCCTATCTTAGAACTTTGAGATGAAGGACCTTGGAGTGGCTGATGTTATCTTGAACATCAAGCTATTGAGAGATGATGAGGGTGGGATTACACTTTTGCAATCCCATTATGTTGAGAAGGTGTTGAGTCGTTTTGGATATTCGGACTGCAAACCATCTCAAACACCATATGATTCTAGTGTGCTGATTCGAAAGTCTAAAGGCACAACTATAGATCAATTGAGATACTCTCAGATTGTTGGTTCACTACAGTATCTAGCGAGCGCAACGAGGCCTGACATCGCATTTGCTATTAGCAAACTGAGCCGATTTGTTTCCAAACCAGGTGATGTACATTGGCGTGCTCTTGAGAGAGTTATGCGCTATCTGAAAGGTACTATGAACTATGGACTTCACTATACTGGATACCCGTCGGTACTTGAAGGGTATAGTGATGCGAATTGGATCTCTGATGCTGATGAGATGAAGGCCACAACTGGGTATATATTTACTCTTGGAGGTGGTGCTGTTTCCTGAAAGTCTTGCAAGCAAACGATCTTAACAAGATCGACAATGAAAGCAGAATTAACAGCATTGGACACATCGGGTGGCGAAGCAGAATGGCTTTGAGATCTGTTGATGGACTTGCCAGTAGTTGAGAAGCCGGTTCCGGCCATCCTTATGAACTGTGACAATCAAATAGTTATTGTCAAGGTGAAGAGTTCAAAGGACAACATGAAGTCCAACAAACACATAAGAATGAGATTGAAAGCTGTCAGAAAATTGAGGAACTCCGGAGTGTTAGCGTTGGATTATATTCAAACGGCTAAGAATCTGGCAGATCCCTTTACTAAAGGGCTATCACGTGTTGTGATAGATAACGCATAAGGGAGATGGGTATGAGACCCACATGAGTTGCCATGGTAGTAACCCAACCTATGTGATCGGAGATCCCGTGAAGTAGGACCTGGGAAAACAAGCCAGTGGTGAACTGAGGAGAGTAACTTTACTAACCCACTCCGTTGGAGATGCAATACTCTCGGAAACTGTATGGAAGGATGACTACTGTCTTAATGTGTTCCAAGGCTTATATGCATAAGCAAGATGCTATCCTATAGAGCGATCTTTGGAGGAACACACCTATATGAGCCCGACTGCTGGTCACAGTCTATGAGATTGGGGTGATCTCTAGCAAGCTCATGAACAGGCCAGGAGTGTGACTAATATGCTCTACCCGAGGGGTCGGCCTTCGGCAGCCTCGTATCTGTGAGACTTGTGGTGAAACTTCTTGACGGCAAACTGACAATTCAAGGCAGAGTCCATTGTTCAGTTGTGAAGGAGTGTAACTACTTGGTCTAGGTGGAGCTCAACCTTAATCGGTCTCCACTGAGATGCTGGTATATCAAAACAGCGTTTGAAACAAAAGACAAACTGGGCCCCTGAGATCTGGTGGGAGATTGTTGAGCTATGAGACGGGCCTAGAGCCCATATGACAATTTCAGATTTGATCTCTAAGGGCCCATGTAGATGGCATGACAAAGTGGTGGGAAGTTTAGTCCCACCCCGGAAGTGGAAGGAGAGTTGGAGTGGTTTATAAGGGATTCTCTTCCTCATGCCATTGGAGTTTGAGAAGAGATGAGGCCCTCGCACACTCCTCCTCCTCCGCTCGCCTCTCCATGCCGCGCCGCGCCGCGGGATTGAGCCGAGCCGAGCTCACTCCTATGCGCTTCTTTTTGCCGGTCAGGAACGGAGAGTCTTTGACAGGTGGGGCCACGATCTGAGACGTCGGACCGTGGGCTACCGACTTGGATGTGGGTTCATCCCACATCTCTTCACGCGCAGCCGCACATATATATGTGGGGCGCTGCCAACCCTAGCCGCCACGAAACAGAACGCATCTCCGCCTTCACGCCCACATCGTTCCTCTGCTGCTGCTGCCGCCGGCGACTCCGTCCCGTTCACCGGATACACGGTTGACGGGAGAGCAGGCCTCCGAAACCCCGTCTCTCCGGATCCTGTACGAGAGAGGGGCGATTAGGTTCTTGGGTAGCGACTACGCGACTGCTTGCTTCTGTTCATCTACGTCCACATCACCTTCATCATCACCATGTCGACCGACGCCGACCGTGCCGCCGCTGAGAAGGCCGAAGCCGACAAGAAGGCCGCCGAGGATGCCGCGGCTACTGCCACCGCCACCGCCGCCGCATGGCCGATTGGAGGGTATACATCGTTTATCCCTCTCATGTTTCTTTCTGTTGTAACAGTACTAGCGATATGCGTAGATGTTTCTACTATATGCGTAGTAAATGCTCTATTAGATCGTAATAAGCATGTTATCAATGTTGTCAATGTCATACTCATGATTTATTCATGGATTAATTTAGTCGAAAAACTGCCTATTTGCTTATCATTATCGACATCCTTCTCAAGCTTCGCGACGCTGCCGTCGCCGCTCGGACCAGCGTCCTCTCCAGCCGCTGGCGCCGCGTCTGGACGCTACTACCAGAGCTCCACTTCCCCCCCACCGAGAGTGACCCTCAACGCATACGCCTCGCCCTCGTCGCCCATGAAGCGCCGGCCCTCAGCCGCCTCGACGTGCGCGTCATGGAAGCCAGTCACACCACCCCTGAGTCCATGGCGGCCTGGCTTCCCATCGCCGCACGCCGCATCTCGGGCGATTTACTCCTCGTATTGCAGACCAACATACCAGACTACGAGGTCTGGGAAAGAGGCGCCCTTGAGCTGCCATGCTTCGAGAACGCCACCTCGATCACCCTCGAACTAGAGGGTCTTGGCCTCACGATGCCGCCTTCCGGCATATTCGCCCGGCTCACCAATCTCCACCTAGGTTGCATCCGGCTACGTGGTCCGAGCATGCTCGGCGAGGCTGTCTCCTCGCCGCGCTGCCCGGCGTTACAGAAACTGACTCTCAGTGGTACCTCGGGTCTGGGCAACTTGACCATCCACTCGGAATCTCTCTTGGAAATGACACTGACGCGCGTGCACGGCTTGCAGCAGCTCAATGTCACAGCGCCGGCACTCAAACAGTTAGAAGTGCTGTCCTGCTTTACTAAAGGTGGGATGATTTTGATCCTACCGGTTGCAAACATCTCCGCCCCTCAGCTGGAATCCCTCATGTGGTGGGATGATTCTGATCCAAAGTTCACCCAGCTCGGCAAGATGGAAAATCTACAGTGCCTGAGCACCTTCCCTTTTACTATATATGAAGAAACTGACCATGTACGCGAGTTACAGAATAGCTACTGTACAAGGCTTTTGCGGCGCTTTGAGCTCATCCACAGTCTCAGATTCCAACTTGTGAATGATCTGGTGAGTTGATTCTTATGTGAGTTATGCCATCAACGCATAAACTTGCAGTTCAGTTTAAGGAATGTGTCATAAGCATACAAAATTGTCAACTTATTTTTCTTTGCCTCAGTCCGTGAAAAATTGCTTTGTGCATCCAATCGTTTATCCTCCCTAGTAGCATGATATCCTTGGATATGCCAGTACTTTTTACTTCCTTTGAGTAGTTAGCATTGAATTACACACTAGCAGTACTAGTATACGGTTATTCCTTATCATGGGGGCACATGAGCTCGAACTTGATAGCTTAAAAGAATCATTTCTTGTTTGTTATTGACTTTGTAAACGAGATGCTTGTGTCCTTCCCAAGTTTCTAACTATTGCAAATAAATAATCCCTTTTTGTGACTTCCTATGAATCTACAGGAGGACATTATTACTAACCAACAGTACCTGATGGAAGACATTACCAGGCTCCCAGACATTACATTCATGTTCCTGGATATAACGGGAAACGGGCATTCCTTTGGACCCAGTTCATTCCATCTTCTCAGGATGTGTACTGGTTTGAGAAAGTTGTCTCTTACATTTTGTGGCACAACTATACGCCCGGAGGTAATACTATCCCTACTTTTTTTTAAATCTAATACCTGGGTATATTTCTTGACACACCTATGCTTGAGCTGCAAGTTGCTCTACACTAGGCTCTGGACTGATACCGAATGTTGTGCTCGAAATTATATCTGTGGCAGATATATGGGCATATGGCTTATGTATCTCCCATTGGCATTGCATGTTAACTGCGTTGGTGTTTATTTGGTAATAGGTTTCAGATTTAAAGATTGTTATGTCTGTTGAAAATGAGAAAAACTATTGGGCATGATTCAGGATTTTGTTTCCAACAAAAGAAACGGTGTACCTCCTTCATTTTCTCTGCATTTCTTCAAGATCGTTCTTGAGTGACCTCTCTCTCCAGAGGGCGGCGTGATCCTGTGATTGTTAGGTTAGGTGGTGTTGGGGGTGCAGGGGAGCAGATGACTGTGTTGCAAGGCTGTGAGGTCACTGGCAGCCACCGGGGAGGCCGGGGCAGCAGTGCAGGTCTGCAGGAGGCTCCAGTGGAGTTGGAGGAGAGTATGGCTTCTCCCATCAGGGCTGTTAAAAAACTTGTTAGCTTCAATCTGGCGAACGCCCTGTACAAAATGTTGTACCGCAGCAGCTTGTGCACAGGTAAGATTGTGAAGAAAATTGAACTGGCAGGTGCAAGCAGTAGCTGGTTCTGGCTGGGTTTGATTCAACCCGTGGTTGATCACCCGTGGCTCCCATTAGAAATATTAGTAATGTGAATTTGACTCAACAACAAAGTCTGTCAGTCCCAAACAAGTTGAGATAAGCTAGAGTTGAAATCCATAAGGTCATGGTTCTTCCACGTGGATAGCTAACTTCCACGCATTTCCACGCACCCCTGTCCATTGCTAAATCTTTGGTAATATTTCAGTCTTTCATATCTCTCTTTACGGACTCCTCCCATGTCAAGTTTGGTGTACCCCGACCTCTCTTGATATTATCAGCACGCCTTAACCCAACCCCTATGCACTGCCGCTTTTGGAGGCATGCGTTGTTTTTTTTAGAAAAGGAGGATTACCCCCGGCCTCTGCATCTGGGCATTGCATGCAACCATTTTATTACTTATTCATAATGACCTTACAAAGTAGTACATCAGATAGTCTAAAGCCACCATCTTAGTAACATCTGTTGCTACTCCTATCCACTTGATGAAGGGGTGCCAATAGTCAAGGGCGGACCCAGGAAAAAAATTAAGAGGGGGCAATAATGTATGGCCATATTCATGAATTAACAAGGCAATCGTCCATATAAACTAGAACCTAGGCACACTCACTTCATTCTCCATGAGAAAACCAAATTCATTGCAAAGTGAAAGGAAAAACTATCAATTTGAAACAAAATGGCTTACATCATATGTCAATATCGTGTCCCGGAGTTGCAAAAGAGAACATTGACACTTTGTCTAACAATCTAATCTACAACATGCAAGAAAAAAAATCATTATCAAACGGAGGGAGAATGAAAATATTGAAGGATGCCTTTAAACAAATGAAAAGAGCTTTTAGCACATTACCTTTTGCTTCGTCCCATGCCGACTTTTCACCTCATGAAAGCGTTTAACCATCACTTCATTTGAAATTTTCCTAGCAATCCTTTTTTTACAAAGCAAATACGACTATGGTTCATACCAATTGACTCTAAAATGTTGATTGATCTTCCAAATTGTCCTTGGCTTAAACTTTTTAGGACTAGGCTGATCTCCTCATGATGATTGGGATTGGAATATGCAATCTTCTTCGTTTTAGATGGATATACAAAGGAGTCTTGTTCAAATCAACTAGTTCTGGCATCTTGGTGAGTTTTTTTTTACTCTCCGTTAGCTTCTCAACAACTTGATGTGCCAAAAAGCAATGCTTTAAATGAACTGTCAAGGCTTCAAACATCATGCATGAAGTTGAATTGTGCTGGAAACTAGGAAGAATAGATGATCCGAATGAAATTATGAGTGTGTCAGTCTAGACTAAAGTTTGGTACAGAAATTTAAATCTTACGAGAAAACGATCTAGTGATCTAAATCGGTAAATTATAGTATATACACAAAATTGATGAAACTAATATGGTTCCTACACAGGAATTGCAAACGGACAAAAAAGTTTGAAAAGAAAGAACCCTAATAATTAATACGGCTTAACGATGTCAATTAGAACGCTGAAATTGCAGAATCCGTGATGAGGCTTTCTTGGGGAGGCGGCGTGTAAGCGCGAGAGATAGAAGACGGCAAGCGCGAGAGACAGGCGACGGCAAGCCGACAACTACAGGATGGCAAAAATGCTACACCTACGTATACTTACGTTTCCATCTTACCTAAACTTCCTAACTAATCTTTCCACCCCCTGATTTCAACTGGGTGGGCCTCCCTCCTCTAACTTCGCCCAACAAAAAGATGCCACCTGGCCTATTACGTTAATTACGTAAGACTAATTACGTAGATGTAGCATTGCTACAGGATGCCTGCGGTGATCACACATGGCGGCTGTTTCGGGACGGCTCCGCTGCTGCCGTATCGTGCTATCACATCCGGATTATTAGGGCCGCACTGATCCATCGAATTTTTCAGTAGTACGTTTTTTGTATCGGACGTGCATAGGCTATTTCTTAGTGGTGGGCTTCTACAGATTTAGAATATTTGGGCTTCTGAAAATAAACAAGAAATTGGGCTGAGTGGGGCCAAAGTAACGGGCCAAGTGGGGGCACACGTAGCTCGACTGGATCTATCGACGCCTATGAGGAAAAATCGAGTGGGGGCAACTGCCCCCACGACCATCAACGTGCGTCCGCCCCTGCCAATAGTCTGAGCCTAATATCAAACAGACATCACACAAATGCCTAACATCTAAAACCGAAGGCCCTAACCAAGCCACATACCGGGTATGGGGCATAAACCGGTCTGACGCACTCTCATGGGGTCATCGCCGCCGTATTCCATCAATCCATCTTCAAAGCAGGTACTGATAAAACGACCTTGCCAGGCCTGACGTCGACGCCGCCACGGTGTCAAACAGCGCCACCGCTCTGCGCTCGTCCATCCAGACACATCTGTCGTTGAGATTCAGCTGCACCATGCCGCCAATACTCATCATCGTCGACGCGGTAGATCCAACGCCGCTCCTCCTGCCAACCTCCACGCCGTCGCCGCTGCTGGAGCTGCCACGCGGAGCCCACCACCCATAGTAACTCCCCGAACACTCAAGCCTCCCAAGACGGTGCCTCCATGAAGGACACCATGTGCATGGCGCGGCCACCACCCAATCCAAGACGGATTTTGGACTTCCGTCCGGGAGTGGGTCAGAGGTGAATAGGAGGGGACCTCGGCTTCTCCTCCAAGGAGGGTAACGACGCCAATGCCATCGCCGATGCCGGGTCGAGCTAGCCGACCAAAGTTTCCTCCGGTCCCCAACCTGTATCGCCAACCTTTGTCTACTCCGGATATGGCCACGAGCCGAGAAACAAAACCAACGGGAGAAGAAAGTACCATGGGGCTCAACCACCAAATGGAAGATCGAGGAGAGACTCCGATGCAGATCTGTCCAGGCGCCAGGTCCAGAAAATCTGACCTGGGCAACGACGAGTACCACCACCCCGCACTGGCCGCCGGCGTCCTAGCGCCAGATCACGAAGGATCTGACCAAAACGCGACGACTCATGCAG